GAATTTGATTCACTTAAAACAAAATTAATCTCACCTTAGATTGTTGTTTCTTTCAAAACAAATTTGTCTCGCTTGAGACCTTTTCCCTTTGAGATCCAAATTTCGAATTTGTTTCACATTAAACAAAGTTGATCTCACTTGAGATCGTTTCTCAAAAACAAACTTTGTCTCGCTTGAGACAATTTCTCTAAAACAAATTTTGTCTCATTTGAGACTATATCTTAAAGCAAATTTCATCTCGCTTGAGACATCTTTTCTCTCATAATAAATTTCAAGGTTGTTGTACTTAAAGCAAAATTAATATCACTTGAGATTTTCAAAGCTGATTGGTCTCGCACGAGACAGTTTTCCCTTTTAACAAATCCTGAAATTGTTTCATTTGAAACAAAATAAACACTTTTGAAAACCCTTGAGATTATTTCCATATAACAAATCGACAATATTGAATCTTTTAAAACGATTTTTGTCTCTTGAGACAGTTTCTCTTGAAAAAATCTTTGAGTTTGTTCCTTTTGAATAAAAATCTTGGAGTTTGTTCCTTTTGAATAAATATCTTTGAGTTGTTTCTTTTGAAAAAATCTTTGAGTCTATTTATTTTAAAACAAAGTTTTGTCTCTCTTGAGACAGTTTCTCTTGAAAAAAATCTTGGAGTTTGTTCCTTTTGAATAAATATCTTTGAGTTGTTTCTTTTGAAAAAATCTTTGAGTCTATTTATTTTAAAACAAAGTTTTGTCTCTCTTGAGACAATTTTGTGAAAAAAATCTTTGAGTTTGTTTCCTTTGAAACAAAATTTTGTCTCTCGAGACAACTTCTTTTGAAAAAAAGACATCTGTGAGATTGTTTCTATTAAAACAAATTCTATCTCACATGAGACAGTTTCCTTTCAATGTCCTATTTGAGTCGTTTCCTTTGAAACGAATTTTGTCTCTTAAAACATTTTCTCTTAAAACAAGATCATCTTTGAGTTTGTTTCTCTGGAAACAAGGTTTTATCCCTTAAAACAGTTTCTTTTGAAGAAAAATCTGAGTCTGTTTCTTTGGAAACAAAATTTTGTCTCACTAAGATACAATTTTCTGAAAAACAAAGTTTTGTCTCTTATGACAATGTTTTTTAAAAAAAAAATCATTGAATCTCTTCCTTTGGAAACGAAATTTTGTTTCTCTCGAGACAATTTCTTTTGAGAAAAATCTTTGAGTTTATTTCTTTGGAAACAAAATTTATCATCTTTGAATCTGTTTCCCTTGAAACAAACAAACATCTTTGAGAACGTTTCCCTTAAAAACAAATTTTGACTCACTTGAGACAATTCCCTTTAAATGCCATCTTTGGGTTGTTTCCTTTGAAACGAATTTTGTCTCTTTCGAGACAGTTGCTTCTAAAAAAAACTTATCTTGGAGTTTATTTCACTTGAAACAAAGCAAATATCTTTGAGATCGTTTCTCTTGAAACGAATTTTGTCTCCCTTGGGACAATTTTTATCAAAATCCAATCTTTGAGTTTGTTTCTATTGAAACACATCTTTGAGTTGGTCTCCTTTGAAACCATTATCCCTAGATAACCAGCCGTCCTCATCATGTAGGAACCGTGTTATCACCTGTAGATGGCCAGAACTCTTCATCACGTATGAGCCGTGTCATTCCCCGACCAGATCTCTTCATCACGTATGAGCCGTGTCACCCTAGATAACCAGCCGTCCTCATCACGTAGGAACCGTGTTATCACCTTTAGATGACCAGAACTCTTCATCACGTATGAGCCGTGTCATTCTCCGACCAGATCTCTTCATCAAGTATGAGCCGTGTCACCCTAGATAACCAGCCGTCCTCATCACGTAGGAACCGTGTTATCACCTTTAGATGGCCAGAACTCTTCATCACGTATGAACAGTGTCGTCCCCACCAACAAAACTATCCATTTTTTTCAAACCAAAAAGAGGAGAACCAGACAAAAACGTGTTTTCTTGTCGTCTTTGCCCTATTCTTGTTAACACAAGAATGTGCAAAGAGGGGCAGCTGTAGACACCCGTTTTTGTCCGGGTTTTTTTTCGTTATTTTATTATTATTATTATTATTATCGTTATCTTATTATTTTATTATTATTTATTATTACAATTTTTTTTTGCAGGCCAAAGCCCATTACAACCGGCCCAAATAGGACCCAACATTGCTAGGGTTTCACCCTATCTCACCAACCCATCAGATTAGGGTTTCAAACCCTAAAATAGATTAGGGTTTCAAACCCTAAAACAAATTAGGGTTTTAACCCTAATCCCCTAATGACAGCCGCCGACCTAACTCATCAGCAAGCCAGCCAGCCGCCTCTGGCTATTTAGCTTCCCCAGCCTTGCGTGGTCTTCACCGGTCACTCCCGAGCCGAATGAGCCGCCGCTGGTGAGTTCTCGAGCCACCGCCAATCTCTCCAGTTCATCCGTCATCCACAGTGACCCTCAACAGTGAGATAGCAGAGAAATCAATTAAAAATTGGAAAAATCCAAGCAAATCTATTCAAATCCAAGAGATGACAGCATGAGTATAGGGATATCATTCCCTACGAACTCAACCATCCATCAGTTAGAAGATATCAACACATGCATCAATAAAGAAGAAAAAAACCGAAGAAAAGAGGAGGGGGGATTGGAACCACAACAAAAAAAAAAGAAAAAAAAAGAGGAGTAGGAGAGGATAATACCTTCATCGGAGGAGTGCCGGAAAGCCAAGTGGTCGCCGGAGTTCAAAGCTTTCGAGAGGTATAATCTTGGATCTAGGGTTGCTAGGTGGTTTTGAGAGGAAAATGGTTTAGGTTTCTGGTAAAGGAGGGTGAGGGGATGCTTTTGGGATCACCTGGTCCCTCCGGCCGCCGCGCCAGCAGCCGTGCGTCGCTGCTTGCTACCGCAAGCTCAGCCGGGTCCCTCTCTCCGATGAGAGGAGTTTAAGAGATTTTTGAATCTCTCTCTCCTCTCTATTTGGATAAGAGATGAGAAATGGGGATGAATGGGTAAGCAGGCCCGATCTTGGGCTCATATTATTCAATCAAAACGGCGCCGTTTCAGCAAGGGACCTTCAGCGTGTTTTTATCTTGTGGGGTAACTACACGTTTAGTCCCCCGCGCTTTGTAATATAATTATTAAGCCATATAATGAAGTTATATATTATTTGATTTCGAGCCTTTATTTTTCCTTCCTTACATTTTAGTCCTGCTATTACTTGTTATGCTATTCTGGTTATATGTGACTTTGGTCTCAATATTTATAATCATTTCAATTTAGTCACGGGTTTTTGTGTGTTGCTTATTTTTGTGAACGTTCGAATTTGGATATGATATTTATGTATCTTACATTTAGTCACTGATCATGTGTTGTTTTTTTTATGTTCGAATTTGACAGCAATATTTGTAAATCAATCATTTTAGTCACTGGTAGCTTGTGTTGTGTATTTTTGTTGACATTTGAATCTAGTCATGGTATTTGTAAAGTTATTATTATGGTCACTGTTTTACATTTGGTTTATTTATGATTCGGCCTTCATGTTTGTGTTTATTTCATTTAAGTTTTTTTGTTATTTTATCTTTGGGTAAGTTCCTGCTAGTATCATAGTATTTTATTTTCTTATATTTCAGTCCTTAATTGAAATGTTGGGTATTTTACTTCGAACTTTAACTTTCATCATTCTTATATTTTAGTCATTTTACACTGTTAATTGTTTTTAGTTAAATGTTTGATTTCACTTATTAATTTGTGATGTGTTTATTTTATTCCTTGCCGTTAGTTTTACTTTTTCATACTTTGATTTGCCAGGTTTGATGTTTGTTCATTTAGGCCTTAATATTAAATTATAATGTGTATGCTTGCTTGGTGTAAATATATTTATATTAGCGCATAGATCATGTTTACATCGATTAAATTATTTATTTATTTATTTATGTTTTCCATATGTATATAAATTGTATGTGCAAGGTGATTTATTTACTTTATTTTCCTATTAAATTTCTAATTTGCAAATTGAATGATATTCGGGATTTATTTATTTTTTATGTATATAAGTGTTGTTAAGTGTATTTATGTGTATTTCGTGTGGAGCCCACCTTTGTGCCTTATATATGCATATATTTGCTTTTCTTCCATGATTTATATTCATATTAATTTATTTTGTGTCAGCACTTTATGTATCTCTCGTATTTGGTTAAACATTTCATAACTAATTCAAATAATTTTGAGAACACAAATTTGTAGAACGTGCATGGAAAGTATCGCTTGATCGAAGTGGTACAATCCGATATGACATTCGAACAAATGTGAACTTGAAATTAATTTGATTTTATTTTGTTAATCCATTTCATTTTAAATCGAACATTGCAATGAATGTCTCTAAATAATAATTTATTTCATTTCATGTAAGTTATTAATTTTCATTCTACGATGTATATTCGATCCTTTTTTATCAATTTATTTCATTGAATGCGAGTGCAAATAGTCGATTTTCATTTTTAGTCGATTCATATATTTATTAACGAGGGAATATTCTTTTATTGATAAGAAATAGTCGAGTTAGCTTTCTCGATGGAGGATTGCTAATTTCGAGATTTCTTTTCGAATTAAAGAATTTTCTCTAATTAATTGATTCGAAGCAAATTAATCAACGTTCGATAAATAGATCATATTTTAACTTATTATTCGATTTGTAATTTCCACTATTTTACGACAACATGTAAGCGACACAGTACCATTTTTGGGCGTTGTGGGGGTGCTTACCCTTCCCCACACGTAACCGACTCCCGAACCTGTTAAATTTGATTTCTGGTAAATGTAGACCATTTTAGTCTTAAAAAATGATTTTTCTTAAATTTCTTTTAAAAAGACGTTTTTAGGTATTCGACCTACCTAACCCAAAGGTCGATGGCGACTCTATTCAATTTAATCCAAAATACTCAATTTTTCAAAATAAAAGTCATAATCGTTTTTTAAAATAATATTTAATTTGTTTTACAAAAAAATGGTTATGACACCTACCATTTTCTTTGTTGGTTGTGGTTTTTGATGAACTTTTAGAGCTACTTTGATTCATCTGTTACATGTAAAGGCGGTTAGTATAAAGGCATTTGACAGAGTAAAGTACCAGAAAACAACAAAACGTAAGAAAATGGATTGTGCTTAGGTAGTTTACTCTCCCAAAGATAAAGTATGCATTTTAGAAGCTATCAATTACAATGTTCATTGACAATGATGGCATATCAAGAATAACTTCAAGTAAATATGTCTTGCTCAGTTAAGAAGCACTTCAGACAATACGAGTACAAAAACAATGTTTAAAATTTTAAGGTCTCTAGCAAAATTCACAGATTATAGCCTGTGAAACTTGCCAAAGCAGAGTTATAATGACACATTAGGGATACATACTACATTTAGCATATTCAAAAGCACTGTTGAGTTCCACATGCAATGAATCTTATAGAGCCCAATTACTTTCTATCTCCCTCAAGCAGAGGCAAGATACTAAATCATGAGAAGTGCAAGAAGAAAGTTTGCGTGCCTTCTCAAACTAACAAAGATTGAATTGTTTATCTAAGATGGATATATATATTTTTATGTCAATAGTAGTTTTTGGTCTAAGGTTCTAATATAATAATATTGTGAGTTATGGTTAAATGTAAATAGTGGTTTCCTACTCTTAACTCTAACCATAGAATCCTACTTTGTAGATAATCATCTTTTAGTCTATCTCAAACTCTTGGGCTGATTTTTGTATAAAGACACCTCTGTATTCTCTCATTAGTATGCGAAATAAAGAAGTTTTTTTTCAATCAACGATGGATCAACCGAAGTTTCTCCAAAAGTAGGCACCTCCGTCGCTCACCCGATCACCACAGATGCAGGCTCCTCTTCCATCACATGTCATCGCTTGAATGATGATAATTATCTTCACTGGTCTCAATCAATTCGTCTATATATAATTAGTCGCCGGAAGCAACAATATCTCTCGGCAAATATGTCAATTCCAGACCCGTCCAATCCTTAATATGAAACATGGCTGGCCGAAAACACAATGATCATGTCTTGGCTCCTCAACTCCATGATGCCGGAAATTGGTGAAAATTCCATGCTATATACAACTACAGCCAAAATCTGGATCATTACTCGTGAAACCTATTATAATCTCGATAATTCAGATGCTTTGTTTGGAATAGAATGTCATATTAGTGATTTCAAACAAGGAAATCTGAGTGTCACACAATATTTTACTCAGTTGTCTAGTCTGTGGCAACAATTAGATCTCTTTGAATCCCACGACTGGCACTGCGATGCGGATGCAAGACTTTTCAAAGGATTGCTCGAGAGTTCCTGTCCGGGTTAATAGCTACTCTCGATGATGTCTGTGGAAAAAATTTGGGCATTAAACCTCTTCCATCCCTCCGTGAAGTGTTTATCGAAGTCCGTCGTGAAGAAAGTCGTCGTTCATTGATGCTTCCATCTGTTGTAATTGACGGTTCAGCGCTAGTCACTCACTCGACCGGTGATTCTTGTTCAAAGAAAGGTCATCCTTGGTGCGACCACTGCAAGAAAGTCGACCATGTTCGGGAAAAGTGCTAGAAACTTCATGGCCGCCCTGCTGACTGGAAACCTTCCAAATCATCCTCCCAGCGTGATTCTCATGGAAATACTGCAGTAATCAACACTGATAGCAGTTCGTTTAATCGTCATCAGTTGGAAGAACTCAAGCACATCTTTTTGTTATACGCATGTGTTGTGACTTGTGAGTGAAGGTAGATGTAACTTTGCTCCATTCTCTAAGGGTTGTGTTTCTTGGATTGTTGATTCAGGCGCAAGAGACCATTTCAATTACTATCATCAAACAGTTGTGAATTATTTTCAGTGGTAGAAGACTGAAAGCAATATCAAAATTGTAACCTGAGACTTACAGCACGTAACAATGTTCTTCCATCCCTCTCTCGAGCATTTTTAATTGCCTGAAACAATGTTCACTAAAATCAATCAACGAAAACTAACATTTATAAAAACACATCGAAAAGATTGCTCCAAACCAAAATCTTCAAGCATCTTTTGCTCTTCTACAACCTCTGCCGAAATCCCTATAAGAGCAACACAATCAGAATTTCCATGTTAGATCTTTTGCCCAAATATATGTATCGAAAACTAGAAACAAAAAGGGTTCTCAAATGATTCAAGGACAAACCTCCCAACTATTTGATCAACACAACATCGACACTTAGCACATACTTTTTGTTCCTTAGCGCACCCTATAACAAAATATCCCAGCCCAATTGATTAATTTTCATAAAAAGAACTATATTTGACATGCATTTCACTCAATTTGACTAGAAACTACTTAATCAAAACAATCAAAGAACTAATAGCAGTGGAAACGAACCAGAAGAAAGATTATGATAGGCTTGACGCACATTACGTTTGGAGCAAAGCTGACTACCAAAATAAAAATAAAATAAATAAATCCACAGAAACCCATTATTTTTGTTTAAAAAAACTTACCATTTTGCAAGCTCTGTTAAGGGGTTATATTTGCCATATCGACGCTTCCAATCGATTTGCTCTTTGCATCGATGGCAAACTCCAGTTATTTCAGAGTAAGGCCTTTGCTTCCATCCAACTTCCTATTGAAAGTAAAATTTTTAAATTTAAATAAAAAATATATGAATAAAATTAAAAAGAAAAAAATAGTAGCAATTGATTACCTTCTTAGTTGATTTTAACACCAGCGTTTGGCTTCCAGGCGTAGCGATTTTGGTGCTTCGGTGGCCCTTGCCGACTGCTCATCTTTTGCTTGCTGGAAACACTCTTCTCTGACTAATGTGCGGGATTTGTTAACTAAACCTAGACCATTTTGGCTAATTAAAATTAGGGTAAAATACGTATTCAGTCATCCATCTATTCTATTGGTTTCATTTTGATCATACAACTATTTATTATTTCAAAATCATACATAAATTACATTATAATTCCTTTCTAATCACTCAATGTTAAATTTTAACAAACATAAGTACAACATGATAACTTTTTTTTTTCAACAATGATATAACATTACCTTATCCTTATGATGACATGTCAATGATCAAAATAAAACAAAAGACATAACACTAGATGATTTTGAATAAAAAATTTAAATAATCAAAATAAAATCGTAAAAGTAAACAAGTAACTAAATAAATAATTTATCTTTAAATTTGTATCTATTTTCTAATTTACTCCCAATATATAAAATTTTGAGCTTTTAAATAAAGAGTTGATTATTATATAAGAAATGATAAACTATTAAATAGAATGTTGACTCATTTATATCATTAGATTTTTAATTTTGTTAATTATGCCATTGAATTTTAATTTTAATTTTAGTTATGATATTCTATCATTGAGTCAATGATAGAAATACATGACTAAGTGTTATTGACATGAATATCAAACTAAAATGATATCATTTTTGTTAGACTATTTTCATGTCCAGAAAACTTAAAACAACCTTGTTTGCTTAAGAAAAATATTAAAATATTATGCTTGAGAGATTTAAACTCTAGATCCGGGTAAAAGTAAAAGTTTTAAGGATCAAACCAACTTAAATTTTTATTATATTTTTATAAAATTTATAAAATTACATTAAAAATAACTTTAAATTTCTAAATAATACGAAAAATTAAACCTAATTTTTTTATTATATTTTTCTCTCTTCTTCTTCGTTTGATCTGCATACCCACTTCTGATTCATTTACAAAATTAAGACATTTAAATAATAAAAAATGGTAGATTCAGGGTTTAATTTGCGATTTGAAATTACCCGTACCTAAAAAATATGTATACCCCCAAAAAAGTTGGAGGGGCAGCTCCCCCTTCCGTTCTCCACGTGGTACTGTCCCCGTATGACATATTTCCGACTAAAATTCTCTAGAAAAATAAAACGACGCAGCTAAAAAAGGGATGAGATTGAAGCTAACAATAACTCCAAGGTCTTGATTTCAAATGAGGAATCCTTTGTTTTCCATCTTATGTTCCTGTCGAGCATCTGAAAGCAAATCAAAGAAGATCAAGCACCCAACGACCAAGGGAAATGGTAAACCATCATTCCCGGAACACCTATACCGTCGATTTTCACTCGACGAGAACAGAGCTGCTACCGATAACTTCGATTCCAACTTGGTTCTTGGTAAAGGTGGCAGCGGCGTCGTATACAAAGGCTTTTTCGACGACGGGGCCTCGGTTCTCGCCGTGAAACGCTTGATGGGATCGTCGATACTCGAAGACTTCAGAAATGAAGTGCAGCTACTTTGCCAGCTGCGACACCAATATCTCGTTTCTCTCATCGGATTCTCCGATGCCGGAGACGAGAAGATCGTAGTGGTCGATTACATGACCCAGGGATCGCTCTTCGATCATCTCCACGGAATTCGCCAAGTAGATCCCCTCACTTGGAAACAGAGGTTAGAGATTTGCATTGGGGCAGCTCGTGGATTGCATTATCTTCATGCAGGAGCAAAGCGAGCAGTGATCCACCGTGACATAAAGTCCAGCAACATTCTGTTAGACGACAGAATGGTTTCCAAGATTGCCGATTTCGCCTTGTCTAAGATCGGTCCGTTTAGTTTATCGAATGCCCCGATCAGAGTAGAGTTACCTTCTCCCGAAGACATGGATGTGGACACAAGCCGAACGAGGATCTTTGGTACACTGGGCTATTTGGCTCCTGAGTTCTTGCATGAAGCTACGCCTACACTCGTGACAGACAAATCAGATGTTTTCTCATTTGGGGTTGTTTTGTTGGAAGTAATTTCTGATAGAAAAGTAATAAAGTTTGACGTGATGGACGCTGCTACTCGATATATAATTCCTTGGGTTAAAGAACATATGAAGAATGGAAGTGTTCATCAGATCATCGACCCATTTTTGAAAGGGAAATTAGCTCCGAGATGCTTAGAGAAATTCCTGGAGATTGCTTTGAGTTGCATCCATTTTCTGGAGCATAAACGGCCTGCTCTGGGTGAAGTTGAGGCGGCATTAGAGCTTGCTTTGGAGCTCCAAAACAGAGCAGACTCCGAAATGGAGTGCTGCCTCAATCCCCATGGAGGAGTTGTGTATCAAGACGTAGATTTCCCGGCATCTGCCTGTGATTGTGTGGCCGATGTATTCTGGCCCCATGGGAGTTCTGGTCTTGATAGCTTCAAAGTTAAGGATTCATTCAGTTGGGAAACAGAGGATACGATTTCAGAAAATTGAATGATATCAGTCCCTTCATTATCATTTTATTTATATGTCGTACTTTATTTGTCTGCTATGGTTAGGAAGGATTCATTCAATGTTTGGACGAGTCAAATTAGCAATTTGGATGATTTCAGTTCCTTCATTATTATTTTATTTTTATGCCGTAATTTATTTGTCTGCTATGGTTAGGAAGGAGCAATTGAGTTTACACTTTGATCAATTGAGAATTATTTAATTCTGACGACCTGCATCTTTAGGCATTTTTAATTCTAGACGATTGAGATGTCAAGGTTTTTTTAAAGGCTTCAATATATAAAAAGGTGCCCAATCTGTGCCCATTATTTCAGTTTAGTGCCTAACGTTTATTTCTTTACAGTTTGGTACCTAACGTTTCATTTCGTTACTCATTTAGGTGCCCGGGCCGTCAATGGCATTACTTTTCCTGTTAAGTAACATGTGTCCAATCGGATAATTTTAAATTTTATTTAAAATTAAAAAATTAAAATTATATACATTTTAAAAGGAAAACACAAATTTTGGAATAAACCCAAAACTTTGAAAACCTTCATTTCAATCCCTAAATCCACGTCGCCGAGGGGAGGGGAGGGGAAGTCGGGTGGAGCTTCTTCGATGGCTAAAGGCAACGGCTAGCATGGGTTTAGGGGTTGAAATGAAGGTTTTCAAAGTTTTAGGTTTATTTCAAAATTTGAGTTTTCTTTTTTTAAAAATATATTTAATTTTTAATTTAAAATAAAATTTTAAAATTACCAAGTTGTGACACGTGTCACTTAACGGTCTGCCACGACTTTACCCATTTTGAGTAACGGAATGAAACGTTAGGACCAAACTGAAACGAAATAACCGTTAGATACTAAATTAGAAAAAGGGGCATAAGTTTGACACCTTTTATATATTTAAGCCTTTTTTTAAAGTGCACTGATCATTGTATTTAAAAAATATTTTAATCATCTATTTTTTTTAAACAAGTCACCAACGTTTAAATTTTATTTTTATTCTAATCCTTTTTCATAATGTTGTTGCTGACCCATGTCGTTATAATTTTCTTTGGTACAGCAGCAAAACGACTACGTTTTGTAGTCTACTAGGGATGGCGGGACAGACATTTTTTGGCCACCCGACCTCACCCTAAATATATATTCTCTAAATCTCGACCCTAAACCCGAACCTACCTTGCCCCGATAAATTTTAGATTTTCTTTCGCCTCAATCCCGCCTCGAATTTTAGATTAAAACTCGATCCTGACCTTACCTGATCTGAATATATTAATATTTTAAAATAATTAAAATAATATATTGTATAATAATATATTTATAATTTTTTATTATATTTTAAAATATTAAAATAATATATTTTACAATAATTTTATACATTTAATACTTAAAGAATATATTTTAATAATATAAAAAATCCTTACAATTTGAAGTATTATATATATATATATATATATATATATCTAAAGATAAAATAATAACTTATATTTAGTCGAGTAGGATCAATTTTTTCACCTTAAATCCGGCTCTGCTCTGGCCGAAATTTTATACCATATAACTCGTCCACCCCGATCCCCGAAACAAAAAAAATTTGCCCATATCCGTCATATTTGGGTATTTTGACCATCCATATAGTCGACCATCTCAAAGTTTCAACCTCTTCAATATCTGTGTCGAGACGTTTCTCTGTCCGGCGACGGAGAGTGTAAATAGTACACCCCAAACGATGTAACTTGTCTCGAAAAAGTAAGTGTTTATCCTCTTTGAATAAGATGAAACATGAAGTTTTAAAGTCACCACAAGTCTTTTAATTTGGTGAGATTGGTCACCAAAATGTCATATTATTCTAATAAAATTCCAAAGAATAATATTAAAATAATACAACTCGGGTCTGCTTACAAGAAAAATGAGTTCAGGAGTTGGTTACGTATGGGAAGGATTAACACCCCCATAACGCCCAAAATTGATACCAATATTTATTAATTAGTGTCTTTGCAGTAAATGATAAACTTGTATTTAAAATTTAAATAGCTTAATATAATTTTTTTATTATTAATCCTATTATAATATTATTATAAATTATTTAAAATAATAACCCTAAAGCATAAATACTAATAATAATTAATGATTAAAACATAAAATAATAAAATTAATTAATCCTTATTTGAATAATATTAAAATTATATGTTAATTATATAATTTACCCTGAATTATTAATACTAGATTAAAATATAAATGTATTAATATTTAGGGACTAAATATATAATTTTATCCTAAATTATATATAAATATAAGCATGATTATAATAAGATTATATAAAATTAAAAAACCAAATTAAAAAACGTAAAAACATGTTTTAGGGACCAAAATGAAAGGCTTACAAACTAGGAGTGGCCACGGATGTAGTTTGCCCATACAAATTTACACATAAGCCTCTTTCCCAAAATGACACTGTATGGGAGAGGGTATAAATGCCCAATATTTGGCCCAAAAGGGCTTTACTCTCTCATTTCTCACGTTTCTCTCTCTCTCTAAACCTAGATAACCCTCTCGGTTCTCTCTAAAATATCCACCGGTGGAATGGCCAGCCACCAGCCAACAACAGATAACCGCCGTCGACAGCCACCGCCAGCCACCACTCATGGTTGCCGAAAAATGTCAAACCTACCCAAAATGTAGATCACAACACGTTATATCCAAATCCGAGCTCATTCTTTGCTAAAAACCCTTCAATAATCCTAAATCTAGGATTTTTACCTTCGGTAAAATCGCTTTTCTGACGACCTTTGGGCTTCGACGAGGGTAAGTTTCCTCGTTCTCTTCTATTTGCTTTTTGTTGCTGATGTGGATCATTGTGGTAGCCTTCTGTTTGCTTTATGTGTTATTTTCTTGCTCTTGTGGTTGTTCCCTCTCTTTCTGTTGTGTGTTGTTGTTTACAGGGTTGCCTTATATAGGCCTCAAAGATCATTGTAATGATGATGAGATCCGGTGAGTCACCAGACCTATGGTGGTGACTCACCATAGACCCGTGTGTTGTGCGGTCTGCGTTCGTCTTCTGGATCCTTCGGAATTAATCTGGAGAGGCGACAATCATCGTGGCAGCGCCTGGTTGGAGCGATGGAGGCGGTGGCCGGAATAGGCCTTAGGGTTGCAATGAGCACCCTAGGATTTCTGCTAGTTCGTTTTTGGCCCTTAGATCTGTCTCTGATCGAATGGTCGAGCTGTTGGCGGTGCTGTAACGGTTAGTGGAAACCCTAGCTGCTAATGGGCTTCTCGCACAGGCTTGCTGGAATTATGTCTGACTCGGTTGCTGGGCTTGGATCATATATGTTGTGCCTGAGTCTGAATTAGGCTCAAATTGATTGTAACCGGGCCCAAAATTAAACTTGTAACTTAGGCATGTGTGCCTTGCTTTGTAACCGGGCCTTCGGGTTTTGTAAATAATAATATTTATAATTTATATATTAATATATATAATAATATATAATATCACTCGGAGGAAAACTAGTGTCGCAATTTGCCCCTCTTTGCTTATTTTTGTGTAAACAAGAATAAAGTAAAGATAAAAAGACAAGTTTTCGTCGAGTGAACTTCTTGCTTTGTTAGGAAATTTGTTCCACTACTCTTTTGTGGGGAGCGAATTTCCACCTGATCATGTTCCTTCTTCACTACTTTTCTGCGAAGGGTGAGGATGACTTGCAAATGATTTGAATAGAATCTGTTTCACTACTCTTCCGTGAAGATCAGACTCAAAATCGGATTACATCACTACTCTTCCGTGAATGTTCATACTTTGCTGAAAAATCTGTTCCACTACTCTTTCGTAGAGAGCGAATTATGACTTTGGTCTTACTTTTGCTTCACTACTCTTCTGTGAAGGCTGAAGATGACTAACTTGAGAAGAATATGTTTCACTACTCTTCCGTGAAGATCAAACTCGAGATTGGATTGCTTCACTACTCTTCCGTGAAGTTTGATTTGACTTGAGAAGAATCATCTTGCTTGAGAGACTGATAGATGACCCAAGGAATTTAAATATTACCCAGAGTCTTTACAAATGACCTAAAGGCTTTACAAGTGACCCGAAGGAGATGGCCCGGAGGATTTACTTTTCTTTGACCATTAATGAGAAATTTTCTCATTTTTGAAATAATTTGTTGGTTGGGCATGCCCCAAAATAATGTTTCTTCTGCGGATTGCGTCTATCTATTATTCAGATGTTTGCCTCTCCTAACACGATTCATTCATTTGAGATTTGAATCCTATCTTATACTCATAAGATATTTTGTCCCTGCATCTTCTTATGAAAAATGTATTTATGCAAATGCAAATCAAATGTATCAATGAAATGTATGGCCTTTATGTAAATTATGTTTTTATGAATGTATGAATGCATCAATCTTCATCTGAATCCAAAGTTTGATCTTCTTCTTTTTCAAGGCTATCTTCAAACAGTATAGCAATTTATGCCATCAAGCTTGCATTTCTGAATAGCCATATGATCAACTTGTATCTTTGTGTCTTCTTTACATTAAAGTCTCAGAAGAACTGTTTCATGAGACTTTTTCTATACTCAGAATTATGACCTGGTTCCCCACTTTGTTCTTGATAACACCAACTGTCTATATCTGAACTTGTGTAGAAACCCGATAAAGCTAACAGAGATTAATCAGGATATCAGCCACGTCTGTTCTGATTTGACTCTTGAAACACATAACAAAAAATTTATCCTAATTCCTTTCATGTCTCGACATCTAATCAAATCTCAAACAAGGTTATTCAAAACCTATCGTTCAATCTTAGTTGGCTCCATTAGTTTCTTGTTGTTAAAGTTCTAATGTCTCTCCATGGAAAGAAATCTTCATCATTTCTGAATATTGGATTTTAAAGACAAACTTCATCTTAAGTCCACCACATGATCGTAACATTGGTTCAACACCATAATTACTGGTTCGTAAACATTTGACAACACATTCATCATTTCCTGTGGTTTCTACCTAGATT